TAAGCCTATAGTACTTAGGTACGAGCCTAGCGAGCCCACAGCACTTAGGCTAAGCCTAGCGAGCCCATAGGAATTAAGGTTTGCCCTGTAAGCTCATGATAAGCATCTATTACAGCCCAGCGCTGCGAGCCCACGGTAGCCTAGGGCTTGCTGGGCTACCCGGTCCAAAACATAGATGTATACTAATTCCTATAGGTAAGCGAATATATTCTACCTCTCTAACTAAAAAGACGATTAGTTTCGTCCTCTTAAATCGCGTCTATCGAATAGTAATCGTATCTAACTATATAAAACCTATTTATCGGGTAAGTTCTTACGCCGTAATACTAGCCGCGTTAGAAGGTTATATAAAAGGTAAGGGATACTACACTAAATCGCGTTCGCCGGCTAATAAGGTTAGGCTATAAATCTCTACATTAGACTAATATCCTCTAACGCGATATATTAGTAGGTAATTTAATGATGAGCGAAGACCCTACTAATTCATCTTAGCCTAAATTTTTAATTAATCTCGACCTTGCGATAGGGACATAGCGAGAAGAATCTTTAGGAGCGCGTGGCAAGACGGGAATAAGAGCATTTATAGCCATCGGGGTACTTTTAGGTGAGAAGTACTCGGCTATATATAATTACGAATCGTTCTTTTAGGTCCTTTTCTAGATATACATCCATTACTACGACCTAAAAAGGAGCGGTAGAGTCGTGCCCATGTTTAAGAAGTAGAACTACGTAGACACGAAAGAACTAGTTAAATTAAAACTAGGCACGATATTAAATAAGGGTATTTTTCTAGAAACATTAAAGTAAAATCTTACCTTATATTATAAGCCACTACGACTATAGATAAATAGGCTTCGGAGGGTAGTATTTCCAAAGGGAAGGTTAAGGAAAGAGGAAGACGAAGGCCTTACCTTAAAAATAATGTCGATACTCGCGGAAGTATAGAGAGACCCTAACGTCCTCATCGGTGTTTTAGCCCGTAGCCTAGCGTAACTCAATTTACTATAGGAGCCTAGGGAGCCTAGGGCTACTTAGCGCTTATTCTATATTCTATAAGAACCTAGGGCCACTCAGCGCTTATTCTATATTCTATAAGAACTTATAGCTACTATTATATTTCCTAATTAGGTAATTTTTATATATAGATATATTAGTAAATTTAGCGTATTTTTAATTTTTAAAAAAATTTAAGGTTTAAGGTTTACGCTAAAGTCGGCTAACTCGCTAGTACTCTAATTAATTAACTAACTACGCTAATAACTTAATAATTTAAAATATCGAAGTTTTAGTAAAATTTACTATATATATTATATAATATATTTACTAGTACTAATACTAAGTCTACTATTTAGTACTATTAAGAATAGTCTATATAATTATAAAATAGAAAAGTTCTATAAATAGTAAAGTTAGTATATAAGCCTATAGTACTTAGGTACGAGCCTAGCGAGCCCATAGTACTTAGGCTGAGCCTAGCGAGCCTATAGGAATTAAGGTTTGCCCTACAAGCTCATGATAAGCATCTGTTGCAGCCTAGCGCTACGAGCCCACGGTAGCCTAGGGCTTGCTGGGCTACCCGGTCTAAAACACAGATGCTTGCAAAACTAAATACCTTAGGTTTCTTAAATTAATTTGAAGAAGGGAAGCTAACAGCGAATGTGGTATCCTATACAAGCTCCGAGTGACCGCTCCTTACTATCTAAGTTTCTATGGTGTATGGGGAAATGTTTTCTACTGGAACAGGAACCCTCCAATCCACCCATGGAAAAGCGAAGATGTTGGGGTGGTGAGTAAGACTGTGAACCAAGTCTGCAAAATGCGACACCTCCAATCTTTTAAGGAGGATAGAAAGGAAGTCATTCCAGTTAAAAATGAAGAGGAAGCCAGTTATCTCTCGGAAAATTATGGAATATGGAACGGCGTGTTCGATATAGAGGGGAGCCTGACCAAACTTCAAGGTTCTCTTGACGCTGGGCGAGGACAACAGGATAGATACCGTGAGCTTAGCAGTCTGTCTGAAAAAGAGCGTGAGCCCGGGTGGGGCATTAAGATGCGCCTTTGCAAGCTCGAGTGAAAAAGTCCTGGGAGTTTCAAGGCGCAGAGGTACGGGGTACCGCTGGCGGTGAATCCTTAGCCTGGAGGAAAATCGTTGATTAAACTTTATCAAATTACTTAGCAGCCACTTAGTCGTTCGGAATTTTCCTCCCAGTGCTTAGTAGAAGTCGTGCCACTTTTCCGGCCATCCTGTTGCCCGGAGGAAGAACCCTCCAGGCTCTTGGTGCCGACGCCGGGCCACTCAGAATATATCCCTGTCACGTTCGACACAAAGCTTCCGAATGAGGACTGAACCAGCTAGTCCTATATCTTCTGGGTCTCCCACTTCAATGCGGCGGTCCTCCTCTGCAGCTCCTTTCGGCCATACCTCTTCCCGAATAGTTGCTCGCAGTTTTGCCGCAGCTCTCCACTCACAAGGCTATCCATGGCAACCAACGAGGACTTCCACGTGACAACACACTAGATGGAGCCATCCTCTCCTATATAAACGTCCTTGACCTCTGCCACTCTGCCGTCCAATTCAGCAACACCGCCACCGGGGCGAACGAAGTGAGCCTGTTTTGCGCGGGATGAACGCGATGATATGAGAGCCCGCTGGGCCTCTCTAGCCTTCCGCGTCTCTTTCGTCACACGGCGAGATCGCTTTTGGGGGGACGTCTTCATCGAGAAGGACATGGGGTTGGGTAAATGACCGAGATCGTTTCCGATGAGAGGCTCCTTGGGCAACAGCGGCAGACTCAGATCCGACAGCGACTTCTGTCGTTATAGAAGATGACGACAGTGGATGTTGTAGAAAGGCACCGATATTTTCTCCTGTGACTTCTACAGCCTACTTAACGTCCGTAACGCCGTCGTCCGTAGCTGTCCGTGGCTCTTCCTGCAAGACGCCACGTGGAATAGCGCCTACTGTCGTCTCCCTCTCTCCGCACTCATGTGGAGTTGAATGTGCCGCATTTTGCTTCGACTTACGAAAGCCGAAGGTCTCCTCGTACTCAGCAACGACGTCGTGAATTCGGCCGACAGACGCCGGTGCATCCGAATCAACACCACCGCCACTGTGCTTGTCATCACCATTACCTCTAGCTAGATCACGGGTATGGGCAGCGTTATCATTGTGTGATTCATTACCTTCTTCTTCTTGTTGTTGTTGCTCGTGACTTGCACGGATAGCCGTGCTGTTCTTCGCTGAGCAGTCTAGGGTGTGCTTGCCATCATCCGTACGTGGATCGACACATCCTTTAGAAAATAATAGGGGCTCATCGCCGGGATATGCTGGATCCGCAGGTTTGCAAGTGGGCTTTTCGTCATTAGGAGGAACCGTGTCTTTATGGTGCGTATCAACTAGTTGGTCATCGTCCAGCACAATCGGGTTGTCTTGTATAATGTTGTCAGCGTGCATGGTCCCGAGACGTCTCCGCACGATGGGACCTTAACTCACCTTGGCTGGCACCGAGCCGTACACTTGTAGCAGTCGTCGCGGTAAGACTAGCAGTCTCCTCACTGTCACTCTCGCGACCACGCTCGCGGCAGGTCCCGTCGACCAGAGCTGGCGATGCGAAGACCTCGCAGCCGATTGCGTCGCTACCTCCAAACTGTTTGTCGTTCTGCGTCAAGATTTCATGGAGAGACGAAAGGTCACTGATATCGCTTTCACAGTCAATGCCGTCATCGGTTTTTGTCGCCTTCCTCGCCGGCCTCGACTTTGTCACTGCTTGTCACGCCGCTCCTACGGTCTCTACTAGCTCGGGTGCCGCTCTTCTCGAGATTGTGAAACATCGGCTCCCGAAGTTCCGGCAGCACCAGACACTTCCGAGGGGTGTCCTGGTGAGTGGGGGTCAAATCCACGAAGTCCACGAAATCCATGAAATCCGCTTTGCCGACAGACTTTGTCTGATTGGGAGATCTAGAGCTTTGTCTACTCGACGTACAAGTGGAAGACCCAATCGTGGGAGATCTGCTGAAAGTGTGGTTATCGAAGGGTGGTGCATATGCTCGAAGTTGATATGCGATGAAGGTCGCCATGACTGAAAAGCGAAGAAATACGAGCAGAGCGGTCGACAGTAGTTCAGAAAGATCATGAAGGATATGAAGGAGAATGGATTTGACGGCTAAAGATGAGAAGGGAATTGAGGCCATACATATATATAGACGGGTCGGCACTGTCCAACGACCGCCCAGTTTTGACTTCGCAGAAGGCATAGCTGCAAAGTTTTCACAACTACCGAATTGACGCCCTCAACCGCAAATAACTCTTCTGTTGATGACTCCCGGGGGGCCCTCGCGGCCTGCATGAGGAAGATCATCGCGGTGACCAAGTGGAGCAGGTCATACCACCAAACCACGAAGAGGGACAAGGGTTTTCGGTATCCCGAGCACAGCATTGATCGCAACGACCGGTGGTCTCAGTATAGGGGGTGGGCATGGGGTGCTCGCTCATTCTCCCCGGTCCTGAGGGTTCAAGGACGGTGAAAAACATCTTTGGAGCACCGCGGAAGCTCCTCCCAGTGGGTTTTGAGACGGTCTTGCTGATCCTTTTCGAAACCGATAGGCGGGCAACCTCACAAGCACCCACCCACCCACCATGGGTATCCGCAGCAGAGATGCTGCATAATCGATGTCCGCGTTCGTCCGAGCGAAATTGTGTCTTGCGCAGCCAATTTTTTCCCATTTCCCCCTGCGTCCTGTTGTCATCGGATGCCAATCTTAGAAATCACCGTACTGCATCCGGCTTCAATGAGACGAAAACACAGAATCCACTTGTCACACGCTAACGTATACCCCCGTCGCAGTTAAGGCCTAACCCCGAGAACTCAGCCCCGATCGACGCTGCAAATTCGAGGCGGAGCATAGTCAGCAACGCAGGCGGCCTGCCGATCAACTCCTGCGGCATTTTTGCGACTGGACGCAGGAAGTGCGGCACTCAGCTGGCTGCGCCGGGCTGTGCGAAAAGTATCAGCTGCACCTCCGTCTGCCGGATTATCCTCCACCCAGGGTTCGGCACCGACGGGGAAGCAAGAGGGCGGAGTGTCAACGCACGGGCGACTGTAGTTGTTCTTGGTGGACACTCTCCCAACTCTTTCGCAGGCCGGGAACAAAATGCCGGAAAATCCACACCACGGAAATCATCCAGACGAGGCGGGATAGGGCAGGGAGGCGCACGGCGGTGAGGAGACCCCGCAGGGCCCCTTGGTCGAGATGGTGATGGACGGGATCAGCTGAGCCCTGCCTGCAGGTTGTGCGGCCGGGAGCCAGAATGTGTCACGCAGGAATGGGAGGCCTCGAGGAGGCCGAAAGGCGCTGCGTCGGAGGGGGAGCGAAAAGCCGCTAGGATCGAGGATTGGGAGGGTGATCGGAGTCCAGTGGAAGAGGCCAGGCGGACTTCGAAGCAGCTGGCGGGAGGATCGAAGGGGAGAAGGGGGGCCTGACACGGCAGAGAAGGGATCAGGGTGCAGGGCGACGCTGGTGGTGAAAAAAGAAGAAAAACTGGTTGATGGGAAAGAAGAGAGAGGAGGAAATGGGGACGGGGGTTCTTATAGACGTCAAAAGCGGCGGCGCGCCCAGCCCTGACCATGCCCGAAACGGCCGGGCCGCCTAAACCGGAGGCGGATTTCCCGGCAACAACTTTACAACCCCAAAAATAGCGAGGGCGGCCACCCCGAGCATATATGTTCACATTTGCGCCAGGACTGCGTTGACGTGGTGGTTTGATGACTCATGGGGTCGCCCCCAGTTTTCACGAGCATGTCGCCAGGCAGATGATAGTAGCAAATGCGAGTAGCCTGCAAGACATAGAACTACTGCGGCGAAACCGTTCGACTCCTCGGCGTGGGAATTTTGGAGGAAGGAAGGAAATTTGGTCTTTTTGTCCACGGAGGCCTGAAACCACTGCAGTCCAGTTCTCAAAAATATTCCTGGGAAATGAATACACATATGGGGCCGAGATGCGAGATTGGTGGTGATGCCATGTGTGACGCGTTTGGAGTTTTCATCTTGATTCTCAATGCAGGTTGGCACACGCAGCGTCTCGGTAGTGTTGCAGCCTAGTAATCCGTACAAGGAGGGATGCTTAGAAGTTGAACTTCAGGTAGTGCCATGCCGGCGAAAAAACTTCAGGACATATTTTTTTTAATGCATATCATCCCAACAATCAAACAACCAACGCCGGGGTGGCTCAATCGGTAGAGCGTGTGGCTCTTATTCAAGAGTATGACCTCAAGGTTGCGGGTTCGAGTCCCGCCTTCGGCTCAAGTCCGGAGAAGAATCCTCCACATTTCTTTTTGCTGGATCTCAATCCTCTCTTGGACAACCAGCGTTCAGCGCAAAGAGTGCTTATCAGTTTCTACCAGAACCCGCTTGAAGCGTACAGCGTAAATCTATCTATTTCGACAGGTTACTTCATAAAATCTCCTGTGGATTCACGGGATAGATAATTAGATAGTGGTAGGTATTTACGTCCATGAGGATGTTCTTCGTGCAATATTTTTTGGGTCTGTGGCAGAGCGCCAAGGAAGACTAGGCGCCACATAATCCAGTATTCTTGAGGTCAATTGCCTAGGAAATGTCTGTAACCTACTATAGAGAGTCGACCATAGACCCGGAGTGGAAAGAGACAGATCGCTCAATCATTATCGTCTTTGACTCGCCTAAGTTTCCAGATCAGGATACCAACTACTTTAGTAGCTAGAGAAGGAGCTAGGTAGCTACTAGCTGGCCGCTAGCGATGCTAGCGTAATACTTGTATGCACAAAACCACCGTATTCCGAAATGAGGGAACCCTTCAACGTCACTTCCCCTCGTTTTGAATCAGTCATCTGAGATTTCCCCTCCTCTTTCTCCACTTGTGGTTGTTGAATAGACGTCCCTCTAGTAGGTATTTTAGTACGTGGATTTGATGATTGATGACTAGACTAGAATTCGTAATCGAACTCTGTCTGACCTTGCTGACTTTATCCCAGCGCTGGTACCTCCCAACGCAACACCATCAGCCAGCCCATCTCCTCGCTGGCTCTCCTCTCCTGTGCCCCTAAGCCATCAAGAAATCTGACGTGATATTGTAGAATACCAAGCATGGCCTCCAAACGCCCAAACTTCCTCATCATCGTCGCAGACGACATGGGCTTCTCTGACGCCGGGTGCTTCGGGTCTGAGATCCGTACCCCCAATATTGACAAGCTCGCACAGGATGGAGTGCGCATGACCGGCTTCCATGCCGCGGCAGCATGTTCGCCCACAAGAGCCATGATATTGACCGGCACAGACCATCATATCGCCGGCTTGGGCAACCTGATCGAGTGGACGGATCTGTCGACTCAGAATTTCTCAAAGGCCAACAACTACACCACCGCGCCGCAGCGTGGCATGCCAGGCTACGAAGGCTATCTCAATTCGAGGGTCGTGGCGTTGCCGGAGATCATGCAGGACGGAGGCTACCACACCCTTATGGCTGGAAAGTGGCATCTGGGCCTGACCAAGGAGCGGAGCCCCCATGCGCGCGGATTCGATCGGAGCCTGGCACTACTACCGGCGTGTTCGAATCACTATGATTGGAGGCCCGAAGCGGAGTTTCCCTCGTTCCTCGAAAAGAGCGTCATCGCGCTGCACATGGAAGACGACCACTATGTGCAGAATCTGCCGGACGGATGGTACTCGAGTAACGGGTACGGCGATCAGATGCTGAAATACCTGAAAGAATGGAAAGGGGACAAGGATCTGTCGCAGAAGCCGTTCTTCGCTTACTATCCCTTCTCGGCTCCGCATTGGCCGCTCCAAGCACCGAAGGAGTATATTGATCATTATCGCGGAGTCTACAACGATGGACCCGAAGCACTGCGACAGGCGCGGCTCCAGAAATTGATCGAACTGGGCATGATCCCCAAAGACGTTCGACCGCACCCTGTGGTGGCGGACGAAGTCCCAGGCTGGGACGAAATGAGTGATTTCCAGCGGGCGGCGTCTTGCAAGTCGATGGAAGCATACGCCGGGATGGTGGAGTGTCTCGACTACAATATTGGCCGCGTGACCGAGTATTTGGAGTCCATCGGCGAGCTCGACGACACTTACGTCATGTTTTTCTCAGACAACGGCGCCGAAGGTGCGGCATATGAGGCCTACCCCATGGTCTCCGGCGCGTTGATGGAGCATTTGGGGAGATACTACAACAACGAACTCAGCAACATCGGGAACAAGGATAGCTTTGTCTGGTATGGTCCCCGCTGGGCTCAAGCGGCGACGGCGCCGAGTAGGCTTTACAAAGCATTCACCACAGAAGGCGGCGTCCGGGTACCTTGCGTCCTCCGGTATCCGCCCCTGCACCAAGCGCACGCGGGGAAGATTCTTCCCACGTTCGCCACCGTTATGGACATCGCACCTACGGTGCTCAATCTGGCTGGCATCCGGCATCCCTCGCCCGAATGGAACGATCGACAGGTCGTACCGATGCGGGGCAAAGACCTTACACCGTGGCTGCGGGGGGACGAGCAAGAAGTCCACGACGCCAACGAAGCGTTCGGCTGGGAGCTGTGCGGACGGGCAGCGATTCGCCGAGGGAATTGGAAGGCGGATTTCATCCCATACCCCAAGGGCACGTCTGCCTGGCAGCTGTATGAACTCTCCACGGATCCAGGCGAGACGGAAGATCTTGCGAAGCAGCATCCGGACATCCTCGCCGAGCTGCTGGAGCTATGGGAGACGTATTGTGAGGAGACTGGGGTGGTGCCTCTGCAGCCTGAGCTCGGGGCACGGTTCCATGAGGCAATGGAGGAGCAAATGAAAGAAGGCGAATGGATCGAGTACGAGTATTGGAGACCCGGCGCCCTGGAGGAGAGGCGGAGGCAGGAGTTTGTGAGGGAGATTGCCAAGGTGAGTGATCCTCGCGTTGGTACAAAGGCCGAAGGTGGATGAAACCGGCTTGGGTCTCTCGAATGAGGCTTCAACGTGCGTCAATCGGTGCGCGAAGTACGAATTTCAGTCTCCAAGGAAACATATTCGGAAATATCATATAGATAGACTGAAACATTGCATGGTGAGCCTCGCAGTCCATCTTCCGCGGCTCCAACCTATAATAAAATATGAGAAAACAGCGAAACCCTTCCTACAACCCTTCGAAGTCTCTAGGGTGCACTATCGCCATTGTATTGTTCATAATCATATCTTGCGCTCCCAAAGGGTGAGACCAGCAAGCAAGTCCCATAAATGCAAAAAGCCAATGGAAGGGCTGCTAGCATGTCACCATTCCTCGTGGATCAAGAGAGGTCAAGACTTCCCGTACGTGTATGTCAGGCTACGATATAAGCTCCGCCCACGATCAATCTGATGTGATATTTTCTGGCATTTCCCATATCAATTTTGACTACGATTCGGGAAGGTCGAGGTCGAGGCCATGCCCAGTGCGCAGCCCAGTGAGCATTAATGCTGGGTCTGCCCATCTTGGCTATCGAGTCTCCAACCTGCTAGTGACTCTTGGTTAGCGAAGATCCGACCACCGGTCCCAAACATCTCTGACGCGCGAACAGGGCTGCACTTGTAAGAAGGTGATAGCTGGGCAGGACACAGACAGGGACAGTCGTGGAAGGGGGGGGGATGAAGAGAGAGAGAAACGGGTTTGAAAGAAGAGGATTGCTTGCTTGTTTCATACATTTAGGAGGGGAAGAGAGGAAGTGGGAGAAAGGGTGAGAAGACGATGCTAGTTGAGATGGAGAGAATGGGAGATGAAGGGGGTTCTTATAGATGTGGGAGAAGTGGCATTCTTCCCCTCATCTGATCTGATCGGTGAGGAAATCACAGGCAGTCGTCGAGGAAGGGACGATCTGATCTAGTGGTTTGGGCGGAAGTCACTATCTGGACGCCCGTGATTGATCGTGCACCTACCCAATCACAGTCATTCACAGCGATTGTTATTCAAGACGGCGGATAGATCAATTGAAGTGAATGCCAGGTGTATCTGTCTGCTCAACTTGCACGGCCTGGAGTTGGAATCAGGTGACTCGGCATGTAAGTGAAGTTTCTCCAGGTCTCCTGCGAACACGAGGCAGGCGTGGGTTCCCTCTTGCCTCTCCAGACATGGCACGGCGAGACATGTCAAGAACGCTGTATATGTATCAAGGCAGAGCTGGACCATGGTTGGCATATCTCCCTGTTTCCCTGAAGCGAAGACGGCCAGCTAATTGGACCATTCTCTCTGAAAACAATACTAGTCGCTTTGAAGCACGGAATCTGGGGTGGAAGGTGGCATACACGCCACACGTGTTGTAATAGGTCAGCGAGCAAAGATGGGAGAAAGCCAACTCTCAATGAGTAACAGGTCATGACTAAGTCATTCTCTATGTTGTCTGGCTAGCTAGAAAGAAGAGAGAAGAGAGATAGCGAGTGGTGATGAGAGAGGCGAATGGGAGGCGCAGTAGCGCCTTGGCATTGCCTGTCATGTGACACGTGTAAGACAACCTGAAATCTTGAGCAGCCAACATCATGACCTCCCCTTGCACTCTAGCTATCCCGTCTCCCGCTGGTATCCTCACCGCAGCTTATTCTCAGGATCTTCGCGGGATGCATAACATGAAACAATGTGGTAAAAGCCAGCATGATACATGCTTCAAAAATCCAAAAGTAGACTTCCTTCACCCACAGCTGAGACAAAGGGGATGCGAAAATCTGGACGGTGCGGAACAAATTGCGGACGATGACAAGACACATCAAGGCCAAGAGAACCACCGTCGCGATGGTGCGTTCGCGAGTCTGTTGCTGGTTCCGTGATACCCAGAGAATATAGATGAATGCAGCGTTCATAAACAGCTGAAGAATGAGGCTGGCTTTGATAAGTGCAAGGCCCGATTTGATTGCACCGTCTTTCTGGTCTGGGCTAAAGTACGTCGCGGCTCCTTGCGCCGTGCATGTGATGACGGCCGAATTGAAACATGTTAGGATGATGATATACAGCTGTGGACGAAGCCAGGCAGGTGTTGGAGCTGTGACGAACAGGCGGATCAGAAATATGTATAGCGGGATAGTGAAGATAGGGCTTCCCGGATTCACGTCAGTGGCTTCATCGATTGAGCGAATTTCAGACTACTCACGTTGCGCTGTAGAAGAGACCTTGAACGGGGCTGGCCAGGCCATCTGCATAATCTCCATGAGCCGTGATTTCGCGGCAAATGAAGCCAGCCATCATGATGATACACGCGCATGGGAGGACCCATGAATATGGCCACGATTTGTACATTCTGTTAAATACATCGCATCAACATGGAATCGAGTCTGTGATAAAGTCACGGGCAGACCAAGACTGACCGGCTTTGCCATATGTGTAAGCCACAAGAGAACGCAAAGAAGATAGCAAAGACGGCTGAGGCACCCTTGGCTGGATGAGCGAGGAATTGGTTGATGTCCGCTGTTAAGTTTTGAGTGAATAAGTCTCTTGAAATTTGACTAGCACACCCTACTTACCGGTGTCAGACATTTCCAACGAAAGATGGAGCACCAGTCGGAACTCTCAACATATGCGGCTGAACGAAGCTTGGAGTCTGGGACCGAGTGGAATGTAGGCTGTGGCCTGTCTGCAAATCGTCGAGAGCATTCAGGACTTGAACATTCCGAACAACCTTCTTATACGACCATTCATATATACAACACAAGAATCAATTATCCTCGCCCCACATAAAGGGGAAGTCAGCCTTGAGCCTCGGGGAAAGCTTAGCGCGCGAGGCAGATTACGCTAATTGCAACCGCCAACATCCTGCCATCGAATACCTACTATGTAATGAAATAAGTGTATGGACTGCAGTGTGCACTATTGTTGTCTGCTCATCGTTTGCTGTAATGCAGATTGCGATCCCTGCTCGTCTCTACCAATGTGCACGACAAAAGGTTTATTGGACATGTAGACCGCAAGACACCAACGGTGACCAATGATCTTGCTGTAAACCATTGCATTCAGTCTGCCTTGCCACGCGTGATCCGAATCCGAACACTGGGCAGCGTTGCGATTAGTACTTAAAGGACACGTTAATACGAACAATGAATACGAATACGCCGTACCTTTCCAGTTCCCTTCCTTGCTCTACCTGACTCCAAGCTATCGATAATTTGATATCATCGTCGACCTCCCGGTCCCCACCCCGCGTTAGCATTACTGTACCTGTGAACCATACGAAAGGAACCGAGGCCTCTTTAACTCCCGACATTCCAACTCTTTACATTTCGTCGGACTCTCCCACCATTCGGAACTCACGACAACTTGCTTAAGCGGAACTATCTCTCCGACAAGCACCTTGCTTCTTTCCGACGTTCAGTTTACACGTTGCCACCAAGCCCCGTTCCTGTTGCACTCATTACAAGCGGTCCCGGTATCGCCCTATTTTGAGCTTTTATCCTGGAGCGGCTGCAATTATGGCCGTCAGACCATTCGCAGGCGCCTGCCATGTTATTTTATGGTTGTCGCCATCTGGATGTTGGCTTTGGCTACAAGAATTTGATACTGCGATTGCAATTTGTCGCAATGGCCCATGGGACGAATCCGATCACTTCACGAGGACCTGACAGAAAAACACACTCATGAGGGATGGGACACACCAGCACTTCAATATCTCAAGATTGTATCCGCCGAGGTTAGAAGCCTTGACGTTTCTTCATCGGTCCCTTCCCTAGCAAAGTCTGCAACACCTTAGCCGGCAACAAAAGGACAGTCTTATATCAGAAGCGGAAGAAGAAGATCAGGCTAGTAGACCTATGTCAGGGTCTGCCAACAGATTTACCACTTACATAAGAGTTTCAATAGTACGACTGAATTGATCACCGCACTATGCCCTCTCATTCTATGGTGTTGAGCGACATAGAGAGGTCAAACTGTATTTGAGAATGGCAAGCACCGCGGGAGCAAGAGACGAATAGTATCTATAGCCAGCGACTTGGGAGCGATCGGACTAAAAATGGCCGCGTTTTTCACCAATTGTTTGATGCGACGGAGCACGCCACAACTAAAGTACGGAGAATGCTGAGGGACCTTGATTCAGGGGATATCCGACGGAAAACTCGGGAAAAACGTTCTTTCAGCGCGATCAACCCCTTTTACACTTCGACCTCCTTCAACAAATCCTTCTTGCCAGCATCATTCCCGAAGGTATGTGCTCTCTTCCTGGCACCAAACACCTCCTCTAGGTCCAAGAACTTCTTGGTTCCCTCCACACGTCCACAGCAAGAATCCCGACGCATCTTCAGACCAAAGCCGTCATTCTTTGAGCCCAGCCCATCTTTCGATGCGAGCAAGTGCTCAACGTCCCGAGGTGCAAAGGGCATCATCTCTTGGAGTAGCTGTGAGGAGCACCAAGCCTGCTTAGAGAGACTATCTTTAGCAGCGAAAGAGGAGACCCACAGACTGGACCAGGCATATTCTACACCTGACACCGAATTCAATGCTGCAGGTAAGGACAGAGAAGCAGCTTTGTCGCTCTCGACAGCAGCAACTTCGTTCATTTCGTCCATGACCACTTCTCCAACATGGTAAGCACAAGATTCCCGAAGGGCAGTGGCAGATTCAGTAGCGAGGTCTTCATCGCCAGATACGACGGGAAGAGCATCGTCGTCGAACTTTCGATGCTGAACCCGACGAGAACGGGCAACAGCGGACTTTCTCTTCTTTTTCTTTGCTGCTTCCACACGCGCGATTTCATTCTTGACTTTGAGAGCTCGTAGCTCCTGCTTCATAGGTCTGTCCTGCTTGGATCCGGTGTCTGGCTTGAGCTGTCTCTTAGCGGCGACGGTAGAATCCTCGAGTGCAACATCAGCGAGAACGTGAAGTGGGCAGCATTCATTGGTCGCTCCATTTGTGGCCTTTGATGCCCTCTTTAGCCTCTCCTTATCCAAGGCTTCCTTGGTGCTTCGTATGGTCTTGTTGATATTGCGGAAAGCGAATACAATCGCTCGACACTCATCGTTTTTCTCTCTCTTCGTGAACGCATTGTCATTCAAATTGGGCTTCAACATGTAAATCTTGTCGATTACGTCATTGTCGTCGATGTAGTAAAGGCGTTGGGAAAGCTCACAGACTTCTGGTGCGTTCCATTCAGTGTAAGTATCTCGGAACCGTGCTTCGGCATCGACGTATGCCCGGTCTTCAGACGACAAGTAGGTCTTGATCATTTCGAGCTTTGCACGAAAGAAGTAGCTCGCACGCAAATGGTCATCGATGTCCACATTGTACATGAAGCAGCTGTGGAGAGCTTCCAGGATTTCCGGATTGAAATAGTTGAGCTCTTCGCTACCGTCAATGATCCATCGAGTCATATTACACGTGAGTTGGAGAGGAAACACCAACAGACCATCTCGAGCCTGCTTGAGCTCATAAAGCAATTCGTAAACTGCATCTCTTGCGCCGGACAGGGAATTCGCATGGCACTCACGAAAACAAGAGTCGCACTTGCATTGGAACTTATAATTGTGTAAGAGTTCTGCACGGTGGTGGCCAGCTCCTGGCGAAACACCCCATATGTAAGAAACAGTGATTTCATCTCCTTTCCTGACTGTTTTGCAGACAGTGAGGTTGACAACGACGAGTTTCGGCGGAGTATCGTCCTGAAGTTGTACCTGTCCGACATCTTCAACTCGCAGAACTGCATTAGGCGAGCAGGCGTGATTGATCAGACCTGTCAGCAACCCGAACACGGAGACGACTCCTCTTGAACTGCCGTACTTGATATATTGAATGCAGTCTTCGAGAAAACGCGCAACCAGCGTTGCTGCATATCCCTGGGTCTCTTCTGGAATTGATTGTGATATCCAGCCATACAGTGCTTGGCATATTGTATCCATTGAGTAGGTGTTGTCGTTGACTGGTCGCATAAAGCAAGCTTCCATATCCTGTGGGTAGTCTAGCCCAGCCGTGGTGCCCTTTTCGCCATCGGCCAAATTCTCTGTCGTCGACTTGACCAATTGCATGAAATCATGGATCTTCTGTATTTGATGGCTGAATTGGGCTTCTGTTTTCCAAGGGCGGGAAAACTCTTCGAAGGGGTACTGCCAGCCGATCTCGGAGAATATTAAGTCTCCTGCAGCGATATCACACGGTGAAAACATGCCAACTCCTTTCCCATATCCTGAATCTCGATACCCAACGGGAATACGTACCATGATGACAGACGTGAGTTTGAAAGTTGGTTCGTGTCTTGCTCAGTCCTCAATGTTGCAACGATTCTTTGCATTGAGCAGGGGCAATCGCCCGAGGTACTCAGTCTGCTATGGGGAAGGGGCGACTTTGAGGGCGAGTCCACACCATGGAAAGTCTTATGGACTCGAGTATTCCAGAGAAATGAGTTGTAGGAATGGGTCGGAAAACTCGCAGAGTGATCCTATCAGCGATGGAGATGTGTTGTGGATGTATGGACAAAAGGGTAGTCGGAATATCCAGGGTAGACTGTTTTCTGGCACATTCGGGACTCAGAACCCTATTGAGAGTCAACTTTCTGCCAAGTAACTCTACAAAAAAAGAGAGAGACCGACCAGTTGCTATAAGGACTCTGATATTGGCTATGCCAGGAAGAAGCAAGTATCTATGGGTGAAGATGTCAATCGTTTGAAGAAGAGGCCATTAGGGAAAGCAGACTGTGTATTGCGGCGCGGGCTTTCTTACATGAAGTTGGCACGGAGAGACTCTCTTAGGATCTGGCTAGTAGATCAGAGTGAGGCACAGCACGGCCAGAGCGCAATGACGGGCTGGAAGGAATGACCTCTTGCAGTAGTGGGATACAAACAAGCGGATTCTGTTCAACACGAAGGGCAAGATGAGATGTTGGGTATGGACACGGGGAAAAAGAGGAGGCTTGAATTTGAAGTCATAGTAGCGGACGAAATGGAGATCCGCTGGTAAGGTGAGAGCCTGCCTCATAGAATTGTGAATGAACGAGGCAGTCAGTTGCGCATCTAGACCTACTGCGCGATGGATATAATTGATAGGAAGGGTTGAGAAGGGTTTTTGTTGTATTAAGTGGAGAAGAGAAAGAACTCCTTGTTTATTAGCAACAGAAACAACCATGTGCTCTCGCGCACTGAGACTCCCTCACTGATGAAACAATGTCGATGAAAATTGAACAACCTGCCTGGGTTATTGAACGGCTATCCGCTTCAAAGGCACATTGCCGACTTTATGAAGGCCTAATGGAGCCTGTACAAAACTCTCTGAGCCATGACAAGCAATGAACTGGTACCAAAGCTATCTATGTGTTGATTGTTGTATAAAGCGAGGTGAGAGTCGTAAGCTTGACAAGATAAAATGATAAACAGCTTCTGGAGTTTGAGAGCATGCATATCATTGACTGGAATGTCCTGAGAATCAATTTATTGCCTAGTACAGCGATGAATGTAAAACTACTGCCAAGCATGGTGAATGAATTGATATGATATGATATTGCTGACCCTCAATCTTAACATTGTTTTTCATGCCAGCGCCTTGGCCGCTCACAATCTCATCAAAATCAAAAGCAAGAACAACAAGAAACCCGCACCTTTCCCGCACCTATCTCATATTTTGCAGACCACATAAGGGATCTGTACTCGCACAGCAAGCATCACATGTTTGGACTCAATTACAAGTAGTATATCCAAAACAGAAAACAGGCGCGGTCGGTACCGGAGCACACAGTGAAAACCATTAAACAGGGCAACAGGCTCTAAAGTGTTCGTTCACAGCTGGCGCAGTCAATGCTCGTTATAACTTAAACTTGAGCATCGTCAATTGTCTTCTTTGAAAGAGTGCCAGAAGTCCTCTCTTCATGAGTCTCAATTCCTGGAATCTGATGCTATTGGGCGCGCAGCCAAATGTTTGCTAAAGCCGTTTAGCAGACAGGTACAATGAAGTGCCTGCACTTCTGCATCGAGACATGTCGGCTGTGTGCGTTATCTTCCGCCTACATGAATGCAGATAGTCTAATAGACCACAAGTTTGCAACGGTAGCTCAATAGCCTGCTTGCTCAACGGAAATGCTCATGGCCGCCCCAAATAAACAAAACGAACCCTTGGAGCAGAGCCATAGCTGGTTGACCTTCGGGAGCCTTAACCATGGATGGACTGTATGGCAAAAATGGCAGGAATATAATACTTCTCCACAAGAGTGCAAGTATGTACGGACATATACTCGGGGGAAATGCAAAACTATCGATGCGGAGACATGTGGAGGCAACAGGGAGTGGTCTGGGAGACCCTTGGTTAGATAGGTCCACTTAATGATCATCCAAGGTCTTCTGGAAGGGGCAAGCTACTAAATCCAAATGATGGGCTTGGGAACTTGAGAATGTCTACATTCAGGGCAGGCTCTGATTACGCAGTGGGAAGTCCGCAAAGATTGTAGCGTTCTTCTATGAAAGTCTGGTCGACAGAACTATTCTCCGTAATAATGGACGAAACTGGTCGCCTGGCTTAGCAACAGTTTTGGAAACGCATCGAGAGGACGTCCGATTTGACTTGATCGACTAGGGATAAGTGGATGCGATCTAATGAAGCGAGGATAGTCCAGGCGTGCAAGTCACACAGCAAGTTCGTCGAACGCTTGATCCAACCCACACGCTTTGACAGTTGCATGGTCGAGAAGAAATTGTGAAGCAGTGCAAAACACGTGTTCCTTGTCTCAGTTGTGAATTGAAGCCCCTTTCTGCACGTCCGCGGTAGTCAGATTTAAATGTCGTGGAACCAGACTCGGCGATCGGCTCTGGCACGACCAAGGACTGCCGCCCCTAGATCCCTGCCGCCTCCCGGCGTTGGAAACAAAAGCATTCTTTGAGTAGTTGGACGATGAAACATAGTGGGACCCAGAGGGTGATCGGGAGGAGGATCACCAGAATCTGGAGCCACGTTGGCCAGTCACTGAAGTTTTCCAGGAACTAACTGATAATGTGCACCGGGATAGCTGTATCTGCTTGCGCTATCCTGGGAGACCTCGGATTCGTAGTTGCTTTTCCAAGGTTGGGATCGCTGAACCGGTTTCCACGAAATTGTCTGGCTTTGGTCGCACACCGATGCCAAATGGAACAGTTATGTTGTCGGTGCTCTGTTCTTTGATCTGGGCAAGCCTGATACGAGTCATGTAGATTGCGCAAATGGATGCCTATGCTTATTATTATCCATTTCTCGAAGGCGAGAATCATTGCTGGCCGTCGCTCAGAATGAAAACCTGGTTGCTTGTCGAAGATGCACGTCATTGACATCGTCGAAAATCTCGGGTGAGGTACTGTTCTTTGTCATGGTGACCACCAATGTCAACATAATGACAGCCTTGACATCTTCCACCCGAAAAGCACGAACGCCACATCATAGCCATTTCCGGCCAGCAGCAGTGACTCTTTGCCTGAACACGGGACTTTTGATGGGATTGCCGACGGTATAAAAGGGACTCAATAAAGTCTTCACCCATATTTCGAATACTTCATTCATGAATTGGCGGATAGCCTCTTCCGTTTGAGGGCTCGTTGGATTTTGGGGGATCGAAGTCGATGAGATGGTGGAAGCACGACTTCCTGCAGATGCACTGGTCATCGTACTGGGTTGATGGAGTAGCATAAATCGAACATTGGTACCGGTGATAAAGCAACTGATATGAGAATTCGTCGGAGCATAATTATCGATGACTTTAAGCCACATGTTCGGCGTCAGCCACTGGACCTCTTCCACCACATCCAAAGCGGCATGGACAATGAACTGGTTCATGTAGCGGGACGTTTCTCCATTGCGGAAGCGTGCTACACCATCACCGCCAGCCTTGGAAGTGCCGAATGTCAGTTCAAAGACTGGAGAGTCCGTCGGAGAAATGATGACGAAGTAGTAGGACATGGTTGAGGAAAATAGATGCGACCAAATCAGCGAGAAGATTAGGCGAAAGATGCACTGCCGCAAGGCTTGTTGATCACAATTGCCAACAAGGTATGGAGTAGATCAGATGAGATAGTCTGACTTCGTAGGCTAGGTCTGGTAGGTAATATCACCGAAGGTGAGGGAAACAAGGTCGAGGGAGATTCCTGGTTCGGGCGGATAATTCTTGGCGCCAAGGCCAATATACCCGAAATGGCTTAGGTCCTTAGCCTTATCTTAGCCTGCGTCAGCCTGGGAATGTAACCAGAATCCCCAATGTTCCTCTCTCACTTTCCGCCATCGATATGACCTTGTAGAAATCCGCTCTTACCTCATTGCGGCCGATTCCTCCTCGGAACTGCAACGGATCGTCTCGAGCTCTACAGTTGTGCTCTTCCACAAGATTACTCTCATGATGCGTTGCAGTGTCCTCAACAAATGTTTTATGGTTCAGCTGATGCTCGTTGATGCCCAGCCTCACCGACCTGTGCCAATGTTCCAAGGCTAGGCGGCGGAGTGGAGATACAGGAGTGATTTCCGTTGCCAACACTCGCCTGGCTTGTCTCAAGTCTTGGTAATTGTCCTGTCCAACATTTGATGACGTCTTGCCAGGTCTTCTGCTCATCTCTATTCCAACAGGGGCAGTTGCAAGCTGATCTCCTCGCTACTCTTTCGGTTAGTTTGCTCGATCGTGCCCGCAGAATGCCTCCTCTCTCTGGCATACCATTATAGAGATCTGACCATTGACCAATGACATATCCCATCGTGCTCGGAGCAACCCTCCAACCTTGTAAATGTTCCAACGACGAGCCATGCGCCATGCGCCCTCATGTATTGCTTCTGGCGTGCATTCTGAGCTGTGCTTCACCCCTGCGGGCATTCAGGTTCCACCATGATCATTTTCCTAGTCTGGAGAAAGTCTGGGGATACCTTGGCATCTGCTCCAGCCAACGTCCCTCTCGGTGAAATCCTCGGTCTCTTACGTTGAGGGGGCATAGGAGAGCTGGAGGAGGGGACGAAGTCGCTTTATCCGTCGATTGTGATAAGTTGCCTTTAAAAGTTGAAGGTGTTCCCGAGGTGTTCCAAAGTTTCTGAGCGACCACATCCATCTCCAAGCAGGAGGATTCATTCAATTGTCTTTTTGGACCTTTGTCAAACCCGAAAACCTTACGATGACTTCCGAACGACGAAGGTCCTCGGTCGTGCAGGTGAATCGAGAGAATGATGGAATACTCAGGGTGAACGATGATTCTGTCAGACGCATGTCTCAAGCAAATGCCTTCATAGCCGGCGATATTGCGGACGCAAAGCAAGCGTCGCAAAATGAAAAGGACTTGAGCATTCGAGATGCCATCAAGCTCTACAAGAAGGGAATTTGCTTTTCCTTGCTCTTCTCTTTGGCTGTTATCATGGAAGGTCAGTACCGAATGTCCTTTCACACGCCGACGCGGTGAGGGAACCGTGGTCAGGTGGTGTCACATCACGGCCCTTGCTCAAGTACTGACGCCTCGCAAAGGCTACGATTTGTCCCTGATGGGGTCTTTCTACGCATTTCCTCCTTTCAAAAACAAGTACGGCACCGAACCCGACCCGGAAGACGGAGGTCTGTTGATCTCTGCCCCTTGGCAGAGTGGCCTTTCCAATGGTGTCCAGGTCAGTACTACCGCCGTTTCTTGCAACCGGGGTACTCATGTACGTATAGGTCGGTAGCATCATCGGCCTGTATCTCAATGGATGGGTGTCCGAGTTGATTGGTTATAAGAAGACCATGTTCGGCTCGCTCGTTCTCATGTGAGTTCTTCTCGAGTCCCAAATTGTCATGCGCCTGCGAGAGAAACCAACGAAGCTGATGGCTGCCCCTTAATCTAGGATCGCATTTATCTTCCTACCGTTCTTCGCCCAAAACATCCAGACCATCCTGGCCGGCACCATCCTGCAAGGCATCCCATGGGGTGTCTTCCAAACACTCACCTGTACCTACGCATCCGAGGTCACTCCTACCATCCTCCGACCTTATGTAAGTTGAACCCTTATTCTTCTTGCGGGTGTGGTGGCATATCTCGCAAGCTACACGTTTTGCCCCTCAACAAAGGACTTCGTCAAACTAGAAGTAGTACTGATCATCTGACAGTTGACTACATACGTTAATCTATGTTGGGTTTTTGGACAATTGATTGCGGCCGGTGTTCTGCGAGGATTCTTGCAGAGGACTGATCAGTGGGCATATCGCATGTACGTCAAAGACGGCGCTTCTCCACGACCTCAGACTAATTTGAAATATCTAGCCCCTTCGCTCTTCAGTGGGTCTGGCCCGTGCCCATTCTCATCGGCACGATCTTCGCCCCAGAGTCTCCTTGGTGGCTCGTTCGTCAGGGCCGTCTCGAAGATGCGAAGAAGGCATTGCTCAAGATCACGAGCACGAAATGCGGAGTCCGATTTGATGTCGATGACCAGGTACAAATGATCAAGGCTACGAATGAACTCGAAGCTGCCATGTCCGAAGATACTTCCTACCTTGCTTGCTTCAAGGGTATTGACGCTCGACGTACCGAAATCGCTTGTGTCGCCTGGGTGGCCCAAGCGTTTTGTGGTGCAGCTCTGATGGGCTACTCCGTTCAATTTTACGAACGAGCAGGCTTGTCGAATGCAAATGCATTCAACATGAACATCGGACAATATGTGATGGGCGCCATCGGCACCGGTCTGTCATGGTTTCTCATGACTTATGTGGGCCGCCGAGCGATCTACTTCTATGGCCTGGCGGCTATGCTCTGCCTACTTCTCATCGTGGGTGGCCTTGGGACTATGGAGCAGAACGAAGGGGCGAGCTGGGCAATCGGCTCGATCTTGCTGGTCTATACATTCATTTACGACTTCACAGTGGGACCGGTGTGCTACTGTATCGTGGCTGAAATCCCATCTACTCGGCTCAAGATCAAGACTGTTGTGCTTGCTCGCAACTTCTACAACATGGTACGAGCATTCCCGGGATCAATTCTTACTTTGATCTCTTACTGACTTGCCGTGTAGGGCGGTATTGTGAACAACATTCTGATGCCTCGCATGAGGAGAGGTAAGAGACGACTCAAGCGCCATTTCAACGAGGTTTACAACGATGTAGCGGGGAGCACACTAAGGGGCAAACAAAGAGAAAAGATACTCTGTGTAACATACCAGGAAAACCTAGGAGAATATATAGTTGAGCTACCCCTACATGATAATCTAGGCTCCTTAGGCCTGTTACTCCTCAGAGTTTGATATACTACTTTTCTGGTGAACCCAGCCCGATCTGATTATCGAGAACCTTTCGATTTGCAGAAGCGCGATCAGCAAAGAAAGGTACTATATTAAACGAACAAGACCTTATAAGAGTAACAGCCTCACCAATCATATTACCCACTATACAATCTCTATCACTCTACTGTCACTATTCCTATATCCTATCCCTATCCCTTACCCCTTATCCTACGCATGCCCTGCAGACCTTATGTCCAATCGGTATGGCTACTCCGCGTGATACAGCAACACAACCCTTGTCCTCACAAACCACCGGAGAGAGGCATACTCCGAGTTTCAGACCAATCCCTCCACCAGGCACCACTGAAGAGGTCCCACTACGTCGGATGACCATCAGTGAACGCTTTACCCACGAACCCCTGCCCATCAGGACTAAACCAACGGCCACCCTCCCTACTTCAACTCAGGAGGACTACGACTGGGAACACGACTCACACGCCGGAGCAGCCTATAACCCAGACATAAAAAAACCACACGCACGGCAAGAGTTCCACCACAGAGTACCATCCTCAACGCTTCATGCAAACACTAGGTTTCAGGGTCAAGGCCCTACTAGGAGCATCATCGACCCGGACGATTACGTAAATGAACATGAATACCATGACTATATGGAAGAAGTCGACACAGGGCAGTCAATCCGACCCGGCCCAACGCAATCGAGAACAAAGCCTCCACCTCCCCTAAACATACGCTCATCGGACCCTAACATTCAGCCGGAACGACCCCGACACCAACCGGTGTTGGGGGAACTACCACAACAGTACCCCAACTGGCAGAGACGAGGGAGAATGGACCAACAAGTCATTGTCTTGCCACCAATCTCGCGAGCGAACGATTTGTTCTCAGGGGAATCAGGAGAGAACGGTCGCAGATGGTTATATAGACTCGAACGAGATGTCACTATCGATCCCTTCACCGGCTCCCAGCGTTCCCCAGGCGATTGGATTGAGGATGCCACCATGCGTCTGTCAGGGGAAGCAGCAAAGTGGGCGGATAGAAATCCGATTATTAAAAGAATGTTGCGGTCCCCAGGTGCACTCGACCACGAATCCATCTCCCAGTGGAAGGACCTCTTTCTAGAACGTTGGGATGAGACCCCAGACCAAGACAGCAACCCAATGGACGAGCTTCAGGCATTAGCGCAAGGAGAACAAGGCCTAAGAGAATACTACCACTGTACGCTCAACTTGTTGCGAGAAGCTGGAGGGACTGACATCACCGAAAACATTACCCAATTAGGAAGATCAGTGCTCGACACGGCAATACGTGCATTCCTCAACGGAATAGCAAATCCACAGTTGAAGATTAAGATGGCAGGCTACGAACTCCAATCCAACCGTTCACTGAAAGGGGCGCTATTAAAGGCGGAAGGCGAATTAAGGCAGATGCGTGCGGAGAGCATTCTACGAGACCAGGTTCGGAAGAGAGCAATGTCGGATGTCATGGAGCAGATGGCCCAGCACAATGTCTTAGGACGAGTCTGTCCAGCAGAATTGATAACGCAGTATAAGAAACTCACAGTCCAGCCACAAGGGCTAACGACAATCGAACAACCAAAAGCCCTAACCCAGAACGCGACATGGACACCAGCTCACCATGGACAAGGAGTGGCATTTCGATCCACCTCTCAAGGACTGCAAGTCCCACCTGACCAGACAGTCATGAATACACCTAAATACGTCGCACCAAGAGGATCCTACCAACCATACCAGAGATCAAGTCAGCGTCCCAGCTCATACCCAAGCTCCCAGCTACGACAGACAGGCGAGTACGACCCCAAGACATCATCCCACCCAGTGGTACGAGGGGAGGAACCACTCAGGCTATCTAGAGAACATCCATTCTGCACCAGATGTGGTAAGGTGGACCACTACCCAGACAAATGTCGTGAACAACCACTCTCCGAGCCAGAACAGAAAGTCCTTCGAGGCATGCTGGCAGAGGAACTCTCGAAAATCCGCGAGCGTCGCCAATGGAAACAAGACAAATCAGGAGGGGGACTGGACCCCGCACTGGATGCTAACAATGCTGAGACGACTACCGATAACGAGGAGACCCATGTCGACTATCATGGGATAGCCTACATTGATAATGAAGGTGGAGACGCCAATTGGGTAGACGTGCCCATATTCACCCAAGTGACTGAAGAAGGGGTGGAAGTTTACCCAAACGAGCATGGCAAACGAACACAGGATGAAGCTCAAGGGGGAGAGGAGTCCGATCAGATTAGGCCGACAAAGAAATTCAGAACAAAGGGCCCGCGGAAACCAAAACAACCACCCAAGGCCATCGCCGGTATGGTGTCCGAGCCGCCAGTCAATGTCATACAAATGCTCAAGGACACGAAACTACACATTTCAATGCTGCACCTGGGGCAAGTGTCACCGTACGTGCGAGATGAAATTAAGCGATTGTTGGTCGTACCCCGTAAGCCACGGGAAAAGAAGAAGACTACCATCGACCTTGGAGAAGAAGAGGAACAGAACCAGACTAACAACAACAGTCAGATCCAGGCTACCAATGAGGGCCAGACACGACCTACGAATGAGGTGAGCGTGGCCTCGACCGTCTCAACAAGCACTCCAGTCGGCAAAGGAATTTCCAAGTGGAAGTCCCGAGACAAGGCTATCCGAGCATTCGGGATCCCGGTCGTAGTGAGCAAGGGGAAAGGAGAACCACAGTTCAAAGTGTCACGTGAGTTCGTCATCGCCGACCAGGGGTCAGACATCAACTTAGTGTACCCTACCATGTGGAAACATCTAAAGCTCAAACTCCGACCCGTCTCAGAACTAATGCTTCCCCACGCACACCTGTTCATGATCACTGCGGACGGACAGCGCACCTTATTAGACAAGTGGGTGGTTATGAACGTAAAAGTCGCTGGAATAGTTCGCGATGTCTGGGCATTCGCTTGTCCAATCGCAAATCACCGTTTAGCCATGATCCTGGGAACGCCGTATCTCGACGACGTCGACGCACATCTCCATATTAGGACATCAATACTGGAGATCGGAGATACTGCGAGAGGTGAGAGTGTGATATCACTACAGGCCCCAACCGGACAATCCTCCCCAGTGAAATTACAAGCAGAAGTCTTTGAACCTCACGAGCCGGACGAACGTGGAGAGGACGAAGACGCAGGAAACACCACCGATGATTCGTGGAACTCAGAATATGATGGTCCCAGACCAGCAGGGGACGAAACTAGTGAGTCCGGAACTGATGATGACCATGGAAGTCACTCTGAAGCTACTCACCCGGATTTTTAAACGGTCCTAGGCAAGACCGCGGTAAACTGTCCAAGCCATCAGTCAAGATGAAGACCACCCATATCCTCACAAGCAGAATCGGCAGCATGATTATGTCCTGCTCTTGGGAACAGCCCACGGGTCAATTACTAGAGTGCCGATGCCTGACACGGTACGCATGCCTACTCCACCGGTGGAGTAAGAACACCACACATGTTGCTCGCCCCCATCACCAAAAGGGGGATTCAGACCCAGCTGAAGGACCCTACTATGTCAATAACGCCACAGCCGGGAAACAGGGATTCCTGCCCACGTCACACACACCCACACCCTTCCCCACTAACAGAAGACCATTCCGGAGGCCTATTGACACAGACCAGGAGCTCCCGGCACTAGAAGAATGGGCGAAAGATACAGGAATCACGCTCGGGGCATTGGTTCCCGAACACGCCCGACTGGATGTCCTGCAGACATTATGGACATATCGAGACCTAGAATCCACGGGAATTACTGATATGGGCCCACCTACCGACCTACTGCGACACCGTATCAAACTTAAAGAAGGCACCCCAGTGTACAAAGCTCGACAACGCAAGTATGCCCCCGACAAGGAATGGTGGTTCCGAAAATACGTTACCGAAGGTATAGAATCTGGGATGTACGAGCGAACAGTCACTGCAACGGGTCGGTTGTCACAATGGGGAGCGGATCCCGTCATCGTAAAAAAACCAGGGAGGCCAGAACCACGCCTCACCTTCAATTATCACTTTGTGTTCGAACAACCACCTGGAAACCACATGGAACTCGGTGAGCGGGCACATCGATTTCTGTCCATCCCAACTCACCAGGTGTTTTCCCAATTTGATCTCAAGAATGCGTACTGGGGGGTAGAGATCCACCCGGATGACCGACACTACTTCGCATTCAATTGCCCAGGGTATGGACAACTACAGCCCACACGGATGCCCCAGGGAGCTAGATCTTCATCCTTCACTATGAATGAGTTGGGAAACATTATGCTAGGTCCAATCCCACCCCCTTACCCTGAGCCTTCCCTACTGAGCAGTGCTGAGCGTGGTGGAGCGCCGGACCTAGGATTCTACATCGACGACATTTTTGCAGCCCACAGCAACTGGCCTGAACATTGGGGCTGCATCAAGAACCGCATATTACCCCGCTTAGTGTGGGCAAAGGTCAAGCTCTCCCTCAGAAAGATTAAAATCGGTATGGACAACATAGTCGCCCTAGGTGAAGTACACCACGCAGGAGGTGGAATAAACATTAAAGCAGAACGCATCAAACTAATCTTGGATTGGCCAACGCCAGAAGATGCCCGAGCGGTTAGATCCTTTCTCGGGACAGCCGCAACGACTCGGAAATGGGTGAAGAATTATTCAGAGACCGCGAGACCTCTATCGAGATTAACGGGATCCAAGGCCACGTTCCGCTGGGAAGAGGCAGAACGGGTTTCCTTTGACCTCCTGAAGTCCCTCTGCGCCACAGCAGCTTCACGACACGGTTGGGCACCACAGCTCCCAGTACAAATGTACGTGGATGCATCAGGGTACGCCATGGGATGCTACATATGCCAGGCGGTAGATGGGGTGTCCTACCCATTGTTCTACGACTCCCAGCTCTTTAGTCCAGCCGAACGACACTATGACACATACAAGCGGGAACTCAAAACCATCGTCACTTTTGTGAAGAAACACGGCCACTACCTCCAGGGACCAGAGACTTCCACAGTCTTCACCGACCACAAACCATTGGTGGGATTCTTAAACAGTCAATCCCACGAAGACATCTTTGCACGGTGGGCACAAACCCTCCGCCTCCACAACATCCGGTTAGAATATATACCTGGAGAGCGCAATGCAGCAGCGGATGGACTGTCAAGAACAATTTTCAACCATGACTGCACCCCAGATGAGATTACTAAGGAATTGAACGCCAAATTACAGGAGATCGAGAGCACTGGAGACCGGGAGTGGGTCTGGAAATCAGGAAAAGGGGGCTACGCCGACTGGCTCAAATCCCGAGAAAAGGAGAAATTTCAAACAACCACTACAGGGGAAGCAATGGGAGAGCCGTTGGAAAACAATTTAATGACAGGATGGACCACCTTCGGCTACCCCATAGGAACGGACATGGACCCTGGGGCTCAGCCTAAAGTGCCCGCCCCCGGAAGCACTGACACTGAACATGCGGAGGTTGCTTGTCGATGGTATGGTCACCTAATAACATACTACAAGCATCAACAGATTCCACAAGACTGGTCACAGAAGAGACGACAACGATTCAAGACATCAGCAGCAAACTTTCGATGGGACGAGAAACAAACTTCGCTCATACGGAAGGTCGGAGACCACTGGATCCCTTGCATCAAACCAAGCGAAGTAGCCCCTTTACTACAGCGGGTGCACGATCAGTCAGGACACTTCAACGCCGTGATAGTCCTAGAGAAACTCCGCCATAGAGTATGGTGGCCCCGAATGGACAGCGACATTCGGGACTATATCAAAGGGTGTATCCCCTGCATCCAGGCATCGTCAGCCCGACGCACAGCACCTTTGTCTCCAATTCTGTCTTTGTTACCATTTCATATAATCGCTTTGGACCTGGTGGGACCACTACCAAAGACAGCGAGAGGATGCCAGCACATATTATGTGCAGTCGATTATTTCTCCCGCTTCTTGTTCACCGAAACCCTGGACACAACAGACTCTACAGCGACAATAAAGGCATTGGAAAGAATATTTGACCGAACCACAAATCCAATGTCTACTTACACGGACCAAGGTGCAAATTTTGTGTCATTAGAGACTCAACACTGGCTCACACAGAGAGGTATAGGACACAGCCCAGTGCCTTCCCACGCCCACAGATCGGCAGGCATGATAGAGGTAACCAACCGCATCCTACAGAATCGTCTCATCACTGGAAGGGTGGTGACAGACGAAGAAGCAGAGGAGGCTATTCGAATCGGCTGTTTCAAAGATGAAATCATCGACCGTGATTGGGACCTAAGATTGTCGAAAGCCACCTACGACGTAAACCACCGATACATGGCCAAAGTTGGGTACTCACCTGCAGAAATATGCCTAGGAGCGGACCCAAATGAACTCTTGGACCTGGAGAATAAATACCCACGATCGAAACAAAGACTGATTGACTATCTGCACGACGAAGATAGGGACACGTCTTCCGACGTAGTAGACCATCTCCAAGCAATCCAGGTTTTCATGAGGACCCGAAAGACTGTCCAGGAGGAAAACCGAACATCAAATATTCAAGACCAAGAATCCCGAGCTAGTAGGTACGACCGTCACAAACCACTGAGGGACCTTAAAGTTGGGGACTTCGTGTTTGTCCGCCAGTTCACCCCATCACGCAAACTTGAACACAAACATAGAGGCCCCTTCATCATCAGTGGCACTGGAGGAGAACATGGACTCTCATGGAGAATTGCAGACTTGGACGGACAGGACCTAGGACATTTCCACAATGAATCGTTAACCCTATTCAAACCACGGGAAGGTTACCTACAGACGTCAAGCGACACAACACAACTAGGCCCCCGCCACACCCAAGCTTCCAGGAGAGCAAGAATCAACATTGACCGTGACCCTACTACTGGGAAACTATTGATCACAAAGGAGGAAAAGAAGAGCCAACAACCTGGAGTCACCCAGGCAAACATGGAACAAGGGAAACAAACTGTCCTAGGGCCATCTGGTGACAAACAATCCACAGTCAACCCACAAGATAGTGCAGAGACCAAACGAACGGAAGCGCTTCAAAAGGCAGCGGCCGCCATCACACGGAGAAAAGCGAGAGAGGCATCCAGAAAGATAGCAGTCTAACAAGACATCACTCTTATCTCAAAACCGAAGATGGCGACCAATGACGATTCAGGGTCAGAGTACTCTGGTGACACCTCCCTTTCAGAAAAGACCGATACCGATGAAACTCACACTAGGATGACCCGTAGCAAATCTAACAAATCAATACAGGTAGCGGTTACTAAACAACCCCACAACCAAACGGCAGAGCAGCGTGTGGTGATCTCAGCGCGAAGGAAAGAATACCGACAGAAGAACCGAAGCAAAATACTACTCCAAAAAAAGGCATCCAATGAGAGAAATAAGAAGAAGAGACGAGAAGCCGCCAAGCAGTACAGAAAAGACAACCTCGAACAAGTCCGCGCCTACCGGAAGACATACAGTCAGAAAAACAAGGGCAAGATCTCGAAGGCAGGCAAGCTCTACGCCACGAACAACAAGGACAAGATAAAATCCAAAAAAAAAGAGTACCACGCCAAAAACCGGGACATCATCAACGATAGACAGACCGAATGGTATTACCTAAACCAGGAAAAACTTTTAGAGAAGGCGAGAGAGGCCAGGCGAAACGAGACACAAGAAGAGAAAGACGCCCGCCGTCAGAGAAGGAGAGAAAGTTATCACAACATAAACAGGGAGCAAAAAGTGGTGAAGGCCGAGGCAGCCGCCGCCAGAAAAGTGATAACATACGAGAAGAAGCTAACAGGGGCTCGACGCCGGTACCATGAGGTACCGGGCAAGAAGGAGGCAATTCTAACCCAATCAAGGGAATACCACCAAACATCCCAGGGACAGGCCGTCAGACAAATTTACAACAGACAAGAACACGTCAAAGTGAAGAACCGAGCTAACCACAAAAAATGGAGACAACAACCAGAAAAGAAGGAACACCTCAAGCTCTATCATGCTGAATGGCGCCGTAGGAATGAACAAGAAGTCAAGGAGAAGGCCCGAGAGAATTACCTGAAACGTAAGCAAGGTCCAGACTTCAACAAAAAGCGGAATGCATATAAACGGGAGTGGCGCCGGAAGAAGGCCACTGAGAGAGCGGCTACGAAAATCACGAAAGGCACGGATGACGACAACCTCAAGCCCGAGCAAGACAACTCCAGCGACTCGTCAGATGGAGAATTGGATCTCAGTGGAGACTACTATGGAGGAAACGGAGAGCTTCGGGGCAGACTAGACACGGATGGAACGCTGGACCCTTTCTCACTTTCAGAAATTGCCCGACAGGCCATGCTGGATGTACGAGCAGACGACCTAACACCTTGGGCATGGAGGCAGATCTTGGAGGTAGTGACCGACTACTACCAAACACGACGAGACCCTGAGGCCCAAGTCATCGTGCGAAACTTCCTGAGTCATCTTAACATCACAGTCGTCGACCCACCCACTCAGACACAAGACCAGGTGTTAGATGAATTAAGACGCCAACATAACCAAGCCCTTAGAGCTACTCCAGTCAATCGAAAGTCCCAATTCGACGAGGACAGTGATGGAGGAGATGTCGAGACACGATAACTTCCCATAACGAATGGATGTTCTGTTGTCGAGCTTTGTGGACCACAATACCAACGAGAGAAAGCAGAAGAAAGATACTATTACTTACTCAAGTCACTCCTTTAAGAATAACTTCAATTCGCGAGACAAGAGAGTCTCACTAGTCACCTTATTTTTATTCACATTGCGCAATATTACCTCTCGACCGAGGACGGTCGAACTTCCCCATCCTGTGTAGGAGAGGTAAGAGACGACTCAAGCGCCATTTCAACGAGGTTTACAACGATGTAGCGGGGAGCACACTAAGGGGCAAACAAAGAGAAAAGATACTCTGTGTAACATACCAGGAAAACCTAGGAGAATATATAGTTGAGCTACCCCTACATGATAATCTAGGCTCCTTAGGCCTGTTACTCCTCAGAGTTTGATATACTACTTTTCTGCATGATTGGGCTTAATGCATGGGACTGGGGTGCCAAAACCGGTGAGATCTGCAAGTCATACAGACTGATGTTCTCCTTCGCTGATCATTGTTTTAGGATTCTTCTGGGCTGGTGCCTGCTTCATCCTTTGCACTTGGACTTATTTCCGCCTCCCAGAGGCCAAAGGTCGTACGTACGGTGAACTTGATGTCCTCTTTGAGCACAAGGTCAGCGCCAGAAAGTTCCACAAGACCAAGGTCGATCAATTTGCCGGCGAGCATACCGAGATCGTCCAGGAGACTTCTGACAGTGATGTTGAGAAGACATTACATGAGCACAGAGGATAAGCACTGCAAATCTAGATTGGGGCTACTCTTAATAATGAGCTTTACTTGTGGTCTTGAAAGATCAAAGATCATGAATGTTGGGCATGTAAGCCCTAGAGTTGCAAGAGTTCCAAAGTGGTTGATTGCAAAGTTTTGTTGAAGTCGGGGGACTCCTCAATTCGATTGTGACAAGTTGAAATACGGTAATCATGGGGTCAACATACCTATCAAACAACGATAGTAACTTACTTGAGATCTTCATGGTTCTTGTTGTAGCTGAGTCCTCGTGACCGTTCATCAACCCGTACCTGCCTCGAAAAACTCCCAACCTGATGACATCATGAGATTACGTAAGGTAAGGCCGAGCCTCTCCACATTTTCTCCAAACGTCAGGATGAACTTCTCCTGCATTCAAGACCTCACAATGTTTTGTTCAATTCTCGCCCCGAGTTGAGCTCCCCGCCAGCCTTCAAGTCTCTGTGTGAATGTAAGGGACTATGCGCAGGTGCCTCAGCACATCCGCGCGAGCCTTCAGTCATGAAAATCCCCTAGTGAGTAATGTCATCTATCCAGGAAACTCGTCTTGCCCAATCGCGTTCTCTGCGACCGTTCCTCCCACGCTCATCGACATCTTCCTACTCACTTCGTGCACGAATATCTGACCCCGAAGCAAAACAGGGTCTCCCCAAAAAGCCGGCACCAGGCCGCCCTTGGCCAGCACCCACAATCCCACGGGCACAACGAGGCCTTCCCCAAAAACGAAGGATACCAAATGTATCACACATCATCGCTGTCTCCAGCGCCAAAGGAGGCGTGGGCAAATCGACCCTGGCAGTGAACCTGGCGCTCTCGTTTTCACGGCACGGCGTGCGCACAGGGATCCTCGACACCGATATCTTCGGGCCCTCGATCCCGACCCTTCTTGGACTCAGCGACGCAGGGGAACCGAAGCTGTCTGACAAAAGCCAACTCCTCCCGCTGGTCAGCTACGGCCTGAAGAGCATGAGCATGGGATATCTGCTACCCAGCGAGGATGCGCCGGTGGCGTGGCGCGGGCTGATGGTTATGAAGGCCCTGCAACAGCTGTTGCACGAGGTGGACTGGGCGCAGCCAGCGCCGTTGGATCTGCTCGTGCTCGACCTCCCGCCCGGCACGGGCGATGTCCAGTTGACCATTGGGCAGCAAGTGGAGCTGGACGGCGCGGTCATCGTCTCCACGCCCCAGGACATCGCCCTCAAGGACGCCGTCAAGGGCGTCGCCATGTTCCGCAAAATGGGTATCGACGTGCTCGGTCTCGTCCAGAACATGAGCGTCTTCGTCTGCCCGCATTGCCACAACGAGACCCGCGTCTTTGCGCGGAGCGGCCACCAGCACGGAAATGGGCACCGGCCGATGGGACTAGGAGGGGCAGAAGCGCAAGCACAAGCCCTGGGCATCGACTTCCTAGGCGATGTTCCCCTCGACCCCAACATCTGCGCGGACGCCGACAGCGGCATGCCGACCGTCGTTGCTGAAGAAGCGAGCGGCCAGAAACTGAATTCCAAGTACTACGAGGACATTGCCGAGAAGGTGGCCAAGAAAATCGGCTTGAGCTGCTGGACCTGAAAAAAAAACCTTGAATTATTGAGTGGTGAGCTGTTTGGTGGCAGGAGGGCACCTTCGCACCGGTGTTCTCTTTCTCCTTAACTCCTAGAAGGCATGTACGGTGCTGATTGCAGGCTGGAAACCTAGTCTGTGTGATGCTCAATTCTGCGTGATGCCTGGTTCTCTTGCCCAATAGTTGTAACTAGGTAATTGACGTTATCCTCACTCAGTGAGCAACGATAACCCGCCTTTGAATGTGCTCTCTTCGAGTTCCGGACCCGTGGCGCAGCAGGAATGGCGCTAATCCGTCGCCAATTGTAGATACTTATACCAGTACATACAAAGCTTCCAGATATGCACGCGTTTGCGTTTGTAATGCGACACGACAAACCGGACGTAGTCGATAAATATGCGTCTTGAGTTAGACTATCTAGGGCATAGGTAGATATATGATACGAACATTAACAGTATTACACTTTTGACATATTCGTCTTTGTCTTTGCGTCTTTCAGGTGGTTAGTCGATCTTACAACACGCGCCTTGGTATCCACATATATATACAGCCGACGCAGGAACCATACATACTCTATTGACCTCGCTGCATCGGGTATCAGGCCCTCTAGCAGACGGACTCAAAGAATCACGGCTTCTCCATCGCGGTCTCGAACTGCGTGTCTGTGCGACCATAGAGCTTTGGTCGGTCTGGAATTGCCTGCGTTTCCGCCGGGATCGTAGCGGCAGCAGTCTCAGTCTGCTTCTCGGTCTGGGCCTCGGCTCCAAAACCCAGGGGCTGCTTCGCTGGGACGTCTGCTTTGGGGGTTTCCGGACCGTGTTCCTGTCCCTGATCCGGAAGTTTGCCGTTGGGAACGCCCACGCCATCACTGCTGGCATCATCCTGTTCGGCGGCGCCATCGCTCTCCTTACTCGGGCTCCCCTCGACGAGGCTGGAGATGCCCTCCATGCGGACCACAGCGGTGGTGCTCGTGCTTCGCAACGGGTGCATTCGGCCCATTCCTTCGTCTTGCTGGTGGCTCTGCAGCCTCTCTAGACTCCTTTGACTCCGGGGCGAATCGTTCCCTGCGTTGCCGTGACGCGAGGCTGTCGTCGGCGACGAGGGTCCACCATCGACGTTATCGGGCAGGGGGCTGTCGAAGTCAGAGAACACGCTCCTGGTTTCGTTGGCCAACGGGCTGCCTGGTCTGGTCGTTGGTGCTAGTGACCTGTCGTCCGCGCCGTCTGCAAGGCCTTGACCGTTCAAGCCAATGACCCCTGGAGCGGCGAAGACCGCACAAGTCGATGCGTCGTCTGGGACAATTCTACTGCGTCCGGTCATGATGCTTGCGGCCTCAGACGCGGGCCCCGTGCTGGTTGAATCATCCCGGAGGTGCGATGCGGTCTTGAATTTGGGGATGAATCCTGCTGAGAGCAGGCCGGTCTCGGGTGATTCCACGGCCGAGTCGGCGGGTGACTGTGTCGTGATTGTCGGTGGTGGCATCGCCGATGTTGAAGAGGAGGCAAGGTCTGGGGATTTGGCCCCTTGTTGTTGTTGTTGTTGTAGTTCCGAGTCGGCAGCTACAATGGCGGGAATTGGCGGCGGATCAAAATCCATCCCCTCGGTTTGACCGGCATCCGTGACGGTGACCGTTCGTCGACGGCCAGCTTGGGGTTTGGAATCAAATGTCTTCCTCCGGCGTCCACTTGCGCTACGGTGGCGGGAACCGCTTTGATGCCGAGTCGTCGTGAGGGGCGGGGCTGCGTGGGCCGGGGTGATCTCAGAATTCCCCTTGCGCATGGGGGCTGGTAATTCTGGAACACCGAGACCGACAGGCTGGGCTTCTTTCTCTTCTGCATTCTCCATTTCGACCGCTTCCTCTTCTCGTCGGAGTGTTGCTGCATCATGCCTACTGCCCCAGCCACTCCACATGGCGAGACCATAACTCTTCTGCTGTTTCATGGTGGCTGGTGCTTTCTCTGTTCTTCTCGCAGCGAGTGAACTCGGGGGAGGATGTTCTCCAATCTCACCCGGCCGTAATTCGTTGCTTGCGAATAGCCTAATGCGCTCTTTCTGTATTTTCCTCCTCGTGGTGGCGTACTTGTCGTCCCAGATCTTGCGGGCTTGGAGCCACTTCTGCACCGGTCCGGGTTTGACGGCCCCCACTTCATCCGGACTCAGCTGCAACGCGGGTAAGTCTGACGCTTCCGCCAGACGATACAACCTCCCAGATCGGTCAATGCGTTCCCGAATCATGTTGTTCTCAAAGACTGGAAGTGCATCACCGGCTCTGCCGACGCTCCCAGTGGCGGTGTTGAGGTCCAATTTCTGCTTCGTCAGGCTATCCGTCGAGGACTCGATTCCTTCTGATTCGCTGTAAGCTCCGGAGGAGATGATCGAGATGTTGTCATCATCCACGATTTCGATCGCCCGTCTTTGCGCTCTGGCCAAAGCCCATGCGCCGAATTGAGCTATCGATCTATACATATATTTTGCTGGTCTGGTGAAGGACAGAGTCGGTGCAACATGGCAGAGATCTTCCCATACTTGTAATTGCACTGGTGTGGGCTTGTGTTTGTTGAGCATAGTATCGTTCGGATCGTACAGTGACCTATGTGTTTTACCCAAGGGATATTTCAAAGGGTTCGCCGCTTTGTGTGCTAGATAAATTTGTTCGTCGCGAAGAACCTCACCACCTCCCGTGAGAATCAGAAGCGGAGGGAGTCCGCCCAGGGATGGTTGCAAGACCGGAGAGACCAATGGATGTGTGAGGAGCTGATTTGTCGTGTACATCTGGATCTGCTCCTTCAGCGTGACTTGTTTCCCTTCAAGTTCGATTGTCAGATGACGTCGAGGAATCTGCTTCGCAGCCGCAGCTTGCATTTCTAGAGCCGGGAAAGGTTCTTTGCTCTGGTCTTCCGAACCGCGAGATGGTTTCTGCTTGGCAAAAGTAGATATCGGGCGCGATTTTTGTGATGCCTTGGAGTTTGCATTGCCCCTGGCGGCCTTTTCAATGATTTCCATTTCGTCCTCCGTCGGCGGAGGCCAAAACTGAGACGGCTTTTGCATAAAGCCATGGGCGGGAATATAGTCGAAGCTATTATCCCCCACCAAGCTGGGGAAGGAATGGGTCAGGTCGACCCAAGGAGATATCAGGATTGCGCCGGCTGGCAGTGGCATGGATCGATCTCGGAGCATGCACAGGATGGACACGACCATGCCTCCACCTGCTGAATCACCGGCGAGGATAATTTCACTTGGGTCGTGGATGCTCAGGAGGTACAGATATGCAGCCAGACAGTCCTGCAAGGCACATGGGAAGGGGAATTGCGGTGCAAGCCTGTACCTGGGAGCGAAGACCCGTGCTTTGAGCTTGCGAGCATGTCTTTGCATCTGGTACCGGTGCTCGTCGACGCTGCCAAAGAAATATGCACCTCCATGGATATAGAGCATGATCCGTCGGCTCCTGTCACCTTTCTTCTTCTGCTCGTTGTAGTGCGCCCTCATCTCGATCCATTCTGCCTTCAAGTCATTGTCCTTGGGCCGCCACTGCCACCAGTTTTTCCCTCCCACTTGCTCAACCCCTTGCGGACCTAAGTGTGCAATGATCGTTTCGGCCGCTTTGGTCATGTGCACAGATGGAATAATGACATTCTCCGTGCGCACCCAGGATGGGCTAGGTACCCATTGAGCTGTAAAGGCCTGCAGGTCCTCGACGGTATGGTGTGAGGCATACTCTAGAAACGACCGGATGAGGTGCAGCCCTTCATCGTAACGGATGTGAGCGGTGGGCTTCTCTCGCCGCGATTTCCGGTTGGCATACTGGCGAGGACATAGTGTCAGCAACATGGTCATAAGTGGCATGCGAGCAACGGCCCTCGTACATGAGAAATATAGGTCTTGACGACGGTGGGCGTGACTGCCGCTCCAACGCCCACGGTGGTGATGGGCATGTTTATTTTACCCGTGGACCACGCGTTGGTCAAACATCACATCAAGGTGCGCCAGCAAATTCCACAGAACAAGCAAAATTGGGGTCGACGATGGAATGAAAGGAACAACATCGGCTGCACAGTAAGGGAAAGGAGAGTCTGAAGGATTCCTCGGTCAGTAGTTAGGTCGTTTCATTGCAGCGCACGGGGCATTGTTTGGGGGTGTTGGTCGACGGTCAATACAACTCAGCACTTGAAAGGTCTCCTTGGAAACTCCGTCGCGCACAGCCACGGGTCTCCGCGCTTCCCGCATCATTACGTCATGGTCATCACGCTTAACTTAAGCATGATCTGAGCCCAAGCCCTGAGCCTTGTCTATATATAAGTCAAGCTTGGACATCGACAAGGCTCGAGTTACGCACTGATCATTGCCGTGGTGGACCTTGAACTTACAAACAGTCGGATATCGCGACTGAATGATCATAACAGATATGTATATCTTGAGACGAAGCCATAGACGGCTGTCCTCCCAAATCCAAGAACTACCGGCATTCCCTTTCATGACCATCTTCCCCTCCAAGCTTGATCGAGGTCCTCATCGCTCGAGCCCTTTTGCTTCTTCCGTGCAATTCCCTCCTTTACACACTCCGCCACGTCTTCCGCGGTCGTTCCTCGTTTCCGTTTCTCCACTCTCTCTTCACCCAGGACCGTGTCGTCGGCGATCAACTTATATATCTCCGCGATCCCTTCGTAGATCTGGCCACCACCAATCCCATGACCGAAGCCGCCATCCTCGGTGAACGTCTCGCCAATCTGTCGCATCTCATCGACCCAGCGATACGCCTTTGGGGGCATACCAACCAGACCACCGGTTGCAAGCGCCAGCGTATTGGGGCTGTATTCTTTGAGGTGCGCTTGCAATTGCGGCAGGACCCCGGCCGTTTGGGCTGTCGTGAACGAGAGGATGGACAATGCCGTCAAACCTTTGGTCAGTGATGCGAAGCACGCTTTGAGTGCAGAGCCAGGGCCGATGGTGGCGCCCACTATCTTGATATTCAAAAGTGAGATGAGAGCGTCTGGCAGAAGATCCGTGATTCCGGGTCCGGAGAGCACGATAGAGGGACGCTTCCAAGTCTGGTCCTGCTTCAAGGACGGTGGGCCGCCGATAATACCGCCGTCCAGGTATTTGATCGGGATCGGGTCCGGCTCGGGCTGTGAGTTCTTGCGGAATGAGAATGACCTCGTTATCGAGAGTCTACGGGGTGACGGTGGTGAGAGTTCGGCGGTGAAAAGACCCGCGATGGTCTTTGCGCTGCGTGGGGAAATGGCGTTCAGGTCGATATAGGTCAAGCTCGGTGCTTGGCCGAGTACCGCGGTTCCTTTTCTCTCGCTTCGTCGTTTGATCGCCTCAGGGTTTTTGCACGCTATCAAAGCTCGTTTCGCGGTTGCGATGGCATCCCTGGGTGGGACAATGCTCAAGATGATGTCAGACTCGGCAACGAGTTCTTCGTCAGAATCAAGGGAGACGATCTGGGCGGCTCTGATCCTTTCTACTGTATGTTTGCTTTTGATTCATTCAGCGGTCAGTACAACGTCGATTTCGAAGGGGCTTGCCTTCTGCCTTTTGCAACCGTGTAGATCGTGTAGTCATGATGTCGTAATAATCGGGCAATCCCCAGTCCCATATCCCCAATTGAGATGATGCCCACCGCAAGCTTGACCTGCGAAGATGTTGCCATTTTACAGACCTTGAGAAAGTTGATCGGCAAAGTCAAAGAGGACGATGGAAGGAGTGACTAAGGTTGGACAAAGCCTTTGATGTTGGTTGATCACGAGGGCAGTGGGTTGTAGGCCAACTAGCGGGCCAACGGGGGCCCTGTCTACGGAGTGCCTTGAAGTACAGTACGAGGTGTCAGCGGTAATTTTCCACACCCCCCAATTTTAGCGTAAAGCGGGGAACTAGCCAAATTAGGTCATCTGTACGCGCTAAGCCTAGTTAGGAATTTAAAGTGGCGCGCTAATACAGCATCAAAACTGTCCGGGGGACAAGGTTTAGGATCTATAATGGAAGTAGCCGAAGACCGTAGAAAGAAGGAGTAGAATATATAGTCGCTTTCTATCTTATTGAATGACTTAAGATCTATCTAAGTAAAGGAGTATAGGCCTGTTTTATATAGGCGTAGGCTCCGTTATAATATCTCGTAAGTACGAGAGTAATTGCCGAGCATTCGTAAATACGAGTTAACTCCTAGGATGCTTAGAAATTAAGTTGAGTGATTTCTAATCCTATAGAATAGAATGGCGTTTTATAGAATCTTCCGTAAGGCTTAAGTATAGCCTTACCAAATAGATACTACGTGATCCTAGCTTATATAAGCCTAATCACGTGACTAGGCGTTGATAGGGTATCGCTTAGTCTTAATAAAAACAATCGATTTTTACGATTTTATACTTACACGCGTAGTACTTCTTCTAATAGATATTCTACTATTATTTCCACTATAACTTACTACTATTTATAGGTATATTACTACTACTATTAGTACTATCTATTCTCTATAGATTCTCATCCTATAACTCCACCTCCTACTCCTACTATTCCTCCTCCTAATCCTATTACTCCTACTCGTCCAAAACGCCTATCACGCGATGTACGTATTTAAGTACTTACACTTTATAAGCACGACTATTCCTATAAAGATATAGCAAAACGCTTAGGAATTACAAAAAGTGCTGTGGCGTATACCTGTCAACTATAAAAAGTGACACCTCAGTATAGAAAAGTAGAACGGCCACCTAGGTTGACTATTAAGGAGATCGATATACTTGAGGAGTACGTTATCTCCTCTAGTAAAGTACGTCGAATGTCATATGAGCAATTAAGAGCTACTCTATTTAATAATCGACTCGACATCGGTATTTACTCTATTAAGATAGCGTTATACTCACGTGGATATCGTAGGCGAGTTGCTATTCTTAAGCCTCCTTTATCAGCTAAGAATATAGCAGCGCGCCTACGCTTTGCACAAGAGTATATCTCCTGGACAATAGAGTAATAGAGTACTATTCTATGGAGTAACGAAACCTAGGTGACTCTAGGACCTCATCGGCGCGTATACATTACACGAAAATTAGGTGAAGCCTTTCTCCCTAAGTGTATAGAGAAACGTATATAAAGACCTAAAGGGTAGATATTTTAGGGCTGTTTTAATGGAGGTATTAAAGGCCCAGGAGTCTTTTAGGAAAAGGACTAGGGTACTATTAATGTATAGACCTATTAATAGTACCTTATACCGATAATTAACGGTTAGATACTATATTAGGGCTCGAGGCGCTTAGTCATGAGAGAAGAGAGAAGGGGCCTTAGTATAGAAGAATAAGTAAGGAAGGAAGAAAGTAGACGATCGAAGAGATAAGCAACGGAGGACGAGTAACCTAATATACGCGAGCTTACGTTAAGTACTAGATAGTAGTTATAAGAATATAGTTTATAGAATTAAGAGCGTTTTTCCTTCTACGAGTTCGGCTATATAACTATATAGCCTAAATTTTAGTAGTAGTAACCTTTACGAATAAAGCTATTACGACTTTATATACGTCTATTACGAGAAATCTTAAAAGTATAGTTCTTTAGCGAACTTAAGACTATAGAGATCGATAGCGTTACTATTCCTTCGCTAATATAGATAAGTAAAGAGTATCGTTTTAGTTATAGCTACTATATTATTCGTTTTAGCGTCGATTAGTTCTTATCCTACGATCCTAGAAGAAAGAGAATTTCTAGTAACGTAGCCCTACTCCCTTATCCGACCTATAGGATAGGCGAGAATATATATCGATTTAATCTTAATATAAATAGTACTTCTTAAGAGAACGAACGAGTATTATAAGTATATTATCTTATAAAGGACCTTAGAACTATAGAAAAGACGACTACTAACGGTTAGACCTAGAAGAAAACTATCCTAGAAGGTTAAAAACTATAAAAGAACGAGGTATTAATTTAACCTTAAGAACGACGAAAAAATAGATATACGATACTTTCGAAACTATCGGAGGAATATTTTATTAAGAAAGCTTTTTCCTAACTTAAAATCGAGCGAAAAAGTTTAGAAATAACTTTACTAGAAATTCTTAAGTACCTTATTCGCTTAATTAAATTAAGATACTTATTTAGAACGTATAGAAGTAAATCCGAGGACGAATATAATTCGAGCGTAAGGTATTCGAAAAGTTAAGAATAATTATAGATACTTAACTAAAATTCGTTTCGGCTATATAACTATATAGTTTAACGAGACGAGTCTTTAGAAACTAATAAGTATCTTAATAATTCTTTTAGAATTATAATAGATAAGAAAAATAACTAAGTAGTAGATTAGTTATTTTATTTTTATTAAGACTAAGCGATACCCTATTAACGCCTAGTTATATAATTAGGCTTATATAAGCTAGGATTACGTAGTATTCATTAGGCAAGGCTATACTTAAGCCTTACGGAAGATTCTATAAAACGCTATTCTATTCTATAGGATTAGAAATTACTTAACTTAATTTCTAAGTATCCTAGGAGTTAACTC